TCTATGGAAAACGATATATTTAGCCACGAAAAACCTGTGGAAAAAGTTGTAGGAAGAAATAGGGTTTGTTCTTAGAGAAAGAATAGTCGAAAAGCCTAAGAAAATCGTTTGCGGGAACTTGGTATATTCCTTGATAAATAAATATAATTCGATTCAGAAGAAAGCCAACATTATAATGAGCTCCAATAATGGAGAATCGGCGCCTTGGAAAGTTAGGGAACACCCTGAAGAAGGGGAACCCTCGCATTTCGCTCCAACAGTCGGTCCCCAACCTCATCAGCAACATTAACGAGGCGGATCCGAGATAGCAGCTAGTCTCACCAGGGAAGGGGCCGATATGGCCGCTAACATGAGAAGTATCACCCAACGTAACATTAACATGCAAGAGCTACTAAGGAACATGCAAAATCAGGGGGCATCCCCTGCCCCTGTATGCAGCTTAGGGGAATGCTCACCTCCTTGATCCTATCCTAATCCTACTGAGAAATTACTATCACGAAGAGGAAGTTCAAAACTAAATGGCCCATCAACAATATGCCGGGAAGAAGCCCCTCAAGAGAGGAAAGTTGGAGTTAACACCTCTACCAACTATGCCGCTAACCAACCTAACGAGGTCCCATTCAACTTTATGCCAAATTATGAAAGGGAAAGCATGCCTCAGAGATCTACAAGCATCTGTGACCAATTAAGCCCAGGAATGCCTAGAAATAGGCAGGTTCAGCCTCCCTTTGTACCTAGAAATAGGCTACAAGGACCCCAGTTTGAAAGGTAAAATGAATCCATCCATGGCAACATGTCTCAGAATCCACCTAGGAATAGGTGCTAGAAGAGGGCAAAAGAGGCCAGGAATCGGGCAAGGCTGTCCCAGTCTCCTTGGGAGCCTCAAGCCAGAACATATGAAAATCCTGGAGATCCTGCGACCTCAATGATGACGATGATAATTTACCTCTCTCAGGGAATCAGGGATGCCCCTGTTCCAAGTCACTTGACGCTCCTAAAAATCCTCAAATATAATGGAAGAGGTGGCCCTACAAAGTACCTCAACAGTTTCAAAACTCACATAAGCTTAAGGGTTTCAACTGCTACCGTGAAATGCTCTGCATTATACTTGACCCCAAGTGGGGCAGCGGAGGTGTGGTATACCAGCTTCCAATAGAAAGTATTAGAAGCCGGCTGGACTTCAAGAAGGCTTTCCTCAAACGTTACGCAAAAAGCAAGAAAGGCGAAGGGCCAATACAACACCTTAAAGATATTAAGCAGCAGCAAGGAGAGTCGCTGAAAAGCTTTCTATGTCGTTTTACTGATAAAATGACATATTGCATGCAAGTGACCGATAAAGAAGCCTTGACAACCCTGAGAGGGGGGTTGGACATGAACACTCTCTTTTGGAGGGACGTACAAAATAAAGACCCAACTAGTTACGACACCTAAAATAAATAGATGTAGAGATTGAGTCAAATTAGTAAACCTAAATTTTCATGTTTGATTTCGCCATGTGATTACAAGGTATCCTCTAATGTTTCTGCATGGATTTATCTTTGACTTTCTAGGAAGAGTAATGATAATATCATCACGATGATGAAATATCGGTGATGTGACAATTCAAAATAACATTATTCTTCCAAGAATTCATCAGGGCCACACGCCATCGCATGGTATATACATGCGATTAAGAGATGTAACTTTGGTTTCCCATTCATCTTGGTCCCTGAATCCTTCTTCAGTTCAGCTCGAGTTCCTCTGTGTCTTCTCCACGAGCCCTTCAAATTTCGACATCCATAATTATCCATCTTTGGTCCAAATCAAGCTTTGAAGATTTGCAATTAAGTTCCTGAATTTTCACAACTATTCTTGTTTAGTCCTCTTTGGCCTATTTTTTCTCCTTTTCATCATTTGACATCCAACATCGAACTTCTCCTACAACAATCAATATTTAACCAATAGAAAGTAGCAATCAAATAAAAGTGACACCCAAATATCCGCATTTTAAAAAGCCGAATAAGTGTAAATCATATTTATCGCCTCGGATTCCTCTAACATAAATGCCTCAAGAAGATACCCTCCAGCGTAAATCCTTCGAAATATACGCGACCAATTATCAACTACCAGCTTCAGATTTCCTCTAGCCCAAGTGCCTCAAGAAGTTTCCCTTCGACATAAGTGCCTCGAAATAAACAAGAAGCAGATTATTTAAGTTTCAGGTTCCCTCTGACATAAATGTTTTGAAACAAATATGAAGCCAACAATCCAATCTTCTCATTCCCTCTGAATATATGTCTCAAAAATTATAGAAGCCAGATCTAGTATGTTTCGACATGTGCTCAGTGTGATACTCTAGGGAAAAAGAGAAGCTGTGCAAGGGGAAGATAAAACATTACTGTTTAAAGACTTTAGTTCTAGGAGAAAATGAATATTATAAATCCTTCAATTCATAAAATTATTAATTTTGAATTTGGGAAATTAATGCTACATACAAAAACTATTGTGGTCCACCAAGATAGTACGCCAACCATAAAAGGGTCCCATCGCATGCCTTTGAATGAACGTTTTGTCACGGTCGTCGAGGCACTGGAACAAAAGATGCCTAGGCGGTCGAGGCTTATCCAAGTGAAGGAATCCGGACTTTTATATTTGGCCGGCAACATGATTAAATGCCTCAGCCAAAGACATGGTTGGAGACCTCGGATAGCCTCGGACATGGACAGGAATCTTAGTGCGAAATCTAATAAATCAATCTCAATGTTAGTATACTCAGTCCTTGCATACAAACAATGAATTTCATTGCTAGTGTGACGACAATACAAACATTCATAAGCTTTGAAAATGGGATTTGATCGTTACTTGTAACATAATGTTGGAGAATATCAACTTACCTAAATAACTAAAATGCCCTCATGAATTGCCTATAAATAGATTATTGTGCAATAGAAACGGAAATTCAAATTTTGAAAAACCAAAAAGTCTCAGATTGACAGAATGTTTGTGATCGACATTTTTCTCTCGACAAAAATAATCCATGGTTGAAAGAAACATTGGAACTACTTTTTTTCTCCCTCTAATACAAACATTGGATTTAAAAAACACAAAAAATCCTAAAAAGAGGGTCAATAATGCTAAAATTGAGAAAAAGAAAGTTGCACCATTGGCATTATAAAATAATATTTATTTTTTTAGGTCAACTATTGCAACCCTAATTCCATATGTAACGCTTGGTTGTTCCGTGGTAAATTCACTTTGATATATTCGTTTCTTTGTGGGACTGGGTTACATTGTACCTATTGATTTCCTAAGATTTTTCTTGATATCCAAGGAACCTTGCCGCTTCTTAGGAGCACGGTAATTTTCAGGTAGAATTCTTCTTTTCTAAATATAACCAACTTATGTTCTAAGAATAACAGATTTGATGACCTTTATGCTGAATGAGCATAAATGTTGCTTAGATCATTCAAGAATCTAGATCGGCCGATGTGCTAAACTTTTAAGTGATGCTGGTGCTCTGCGAACACCATAAAGGATGGCTCAATACTGTTGAAGGCGAGGCTCAATGCTCAGTTCCACAATAGGGAATGCGGATCACATGTGATTGTCATCTGGTAGTACGTTGGAGGCATACGTGACCTAATAATGCTTAGATGATACCTTCGCAGATTTCAAGTGTAACGAAGACGATAATGATGCATACGTGACCTAATAATGCTTAGATGATACCTTCGCAGATTTCGAGTGTAACGAAGACGATAATGATAATAATAGTCTTAATATCATTATAATAAAAGATACCAATTTATCAATGCCTATTCATATATCAAATCACTAAAAACGATTTACATTATGAATCAATTTAAATTTGTCATCATGTCAAGTTATGGGATACTCTTCATTAAGATTTGAATGCACAATGAGTTATAACTTTTATCGTTACGATGACAGTTGAATAGTCTCGATGGTAATGTGAACATGAAAGGATCTAGGATCGGATTACGAGCCGAGCTAACACGTAAAAAAAGTGGAAAAAAATTACACAAGAAAACTTTTTTTCTACTAAAAAAAATTGAATGTGCAAGCCCGGTCCAGCCCCCGTCACTTTCAATCATGATTGTATTGGCACATTAGTGGCACAAATTCATTATGGGCACCACATAAAATATCAATGCTTTAGAAATAAAATAAGTTTTAGTACCAAGAAAACTGACGGTCAAGTATTAATTAAGGGGAAATTTTTTTTTCAAATAAGCCCGTTTTGGGATTATATCATTGTTTAATTGTTTATAGATGATTTAAAAATACTCCAGTCACTTTTATGAACATACATATTAGGGATTTATAAGTAATATACACTCATTTACCATTATTTTTATTTATTTACATTTTTGTTTATAAACCATTTCCAAACATACTCTGCTTACACATTCTTGTAGTGAAATACTCGAGCATAAAAAAGAATTCAAAGATATATATATCAAAATGTATTTTTTATCGTTAAATTTCAACCACACTTTTTTCAATAATATAATATTACACGTAAAGTCAAAAATTTTTTCTTATTTTTTGTTCACACATTATCAATCATAACCCTTTTATAAAATGCATTTAAAAAAAAAACGTGGGGTTCAACAAACAGTATTAAAAAAAAAAAACTTTTAGTGTGCAAATTTCAATGGTAAATATAATTAAATGAAGAATATTTCTAGAAAATATACAAGTAAATAAATTTGAGAGAGTGTGAGAAGATTGATCTTGAAAGGCAGCGTTGGGATATTCAAGGTAATAAACACTTGAATTCCTTTGATGTTCCTTAATTAATTAAAATTAATGAATCTTATAAGCATGCGTTTTGATTGTGCTGAAAGAACCATCGGTATTTCCTTCTTCATCGCACATAAGAAGAAAAGGAGTATAACAAACAATAAAAAAGCCAAACAACTGTTGATATTCAAGGCTCAAATCACACCAAAAGCCAGAAAAAGGAAGAAATCGAGAGATTTGGAAGCTTGGTGGTTATGGGTTTGGCGCCTAAAAAATTAATATTTCATTCTTCTTCGTCTGCATCTGCATCTGTGGGCTGTGAGTATATAATATTCTTCATCTCAATTTTAATTATTCATCGATTATTTTGAAGTTATTTTGCGTATTGAACTATTTACATGTGTGGTCTAGTTTAAAAACCAAATTTGGCTTCTTCTCTGGATTTTCTAGCAGAATCAACCGAAATAATCTGCTTCTGTTGTAGAAGAAAAATTTTGATATAGATTCATGGTATTGCATGAGCTAGCTGCTTGAATTATGGAGAGTTTTCTTGCTTAATGAATTGAGATGACAGGTATTGAAATAGTTGGAATTTGGTGAGGAAGAACTGAAGTATATGTTTCTATATAAACTTTTGGCTTTTCTCTTTCAGTCGAGTAACTTCATCTAGAACTTTGTTTCTTTAAGTTGTTTAGGGGGAGGAAGGTGACCCAAAAATGCTATTAAATATGCCCTTTTATCTTTCTTGAAACTTAAAAGTCGCTGCTTTTACGCATCACCAAACATCTCCAATTGGCTTTTTTTCTAGTTCTCATCCATGCATATTCTGTACTTGTGTAGTTACTCCTGTGTCTTAAAGTCCTGGAATAATGGATGCGGCGTTTGATCAACTTAAGTTTCAAACATTTGTATATTCTCAAGCTTTCAAGCTTTTGTCTCCATTCCCAAATGCAGAATATGTCAAAAAGATGGAGCTCGCAGATTAATCTTCAGGACATTCACGGATAACTTTTGTTGACTTTTACCTTCATTAAACTAGGATAAATGAAGAGGAAACGTCTCTATATTTTGTTTGTGTGACATCAATTTATGACCTTTTGTGCTTATCTGTTAAAAGGATATTCTTTGAATAGTTCTGATACTTGCAAACCCAAAAAAACCAATACAGCAGATGGAGATGATGCACCAGCTGCTGCTGCTGCAGTGAGCAAAATATCAACCCTGCAATTACTCAATCAAGCTGACCAAAAACAACCACATGCAGTGTTAGAGAAGACTCAACAACAAGAAGATGATTCTACCTGTGTTCCCCACTCTAAAACTAAAGACGTACTATTAAAAGAGAATCAGACTGCAGAAGCTGGAGAAACAGCGGGCGATGAACCAGCATTGAAGAAAATTGGAGAACAGGAGGACTCCAATTCCAATTCTGTGGGCCGTAAGTATCATATTTAGATATTATTTGTGAAGGAACTTTGAATATGTATCTGTAAGTCTCAACTTGGACTTGAACTCTATGTGTCTCCTGTGAGTATATATGCAATTTCTTTTAACCCGTCAAAGAAAGTTTGGCAAGATGTGGTCTCTGCATCTTCCCTTTTGAAATTTATCAAACAGGCTGACATAGAGAAAATACTTTTGCATCAAAATAAATATTAAAATTTTTGTTTGATTATAGTAGATGAACTTTTAGCTTAAGCTAAGCATGCTTCTATATAATCTCGTTGCTTTTTACTTGCAATTGTTCTGTTGTTCCCATTCATGCGTATTCTGAACTTGTCTTGCTTTCATACATTTTTTATCAATGAAATTGTTTATCTAAATCTAGTTATAGTTAAACCCAATTTGTTTTTGTTTGTTAATGAAAACTTTTATCTTTATTCCTGAATGAGGAACATGTCTAAAAGATGGTATTTGACCTGTTTCTACCCAAATTTTAGAGTTTAATCTTCCTTTTTGAATGCCAAATGTATTGGTTTTACCATAATTAGATTGGCTTAAATTAATTAGGCTCACTTTATTTTATTTCTTTCTTCCTCTTGAAAATTTTGGGAGAAGCTTCTCCCTCCCTTTTATGTTTGACACCAATTGATGGCCTTTTCTGATTAATTATCTGCTGAAAGGATAATCTTTAAATGATTCTGATATTTTCAGCCCAAAAAATTAATACGATGGATGAAGATGATGCAATTTCTGAAGCACCAGCTTCAACAGCTTTGGACAAAATATCTAAACAGCGAGTGCACAATCAAGCCGACCAACAAAAACACTCCGAAGCAGCATTGGAGAAGACACAAGAACCGGAAGATGACCATAACTCTGATTCCAATTCTAAAGCTCAAGAAATAGCACCACTGGACAAGAATCAGACCACAGAAGCCGAAGAAAAAGGGGTTGAAAATGCAGCACCGGAGAAAACTAGAGAACAAGCCTCCAGCTATGGTTATAATTTTGAGAGCCTTCAGAAAGACAAAGCCATCATGGTTGTTGAACCATTGAAGCCCACAGAAAATCCTCTTGAATCCAACAAATTGACCGACATTCAAGAAACTAATAGGAAGAAACCCCTAGCTTTTTATGGCCATATCTTCACGGATGACGATGTCATTGTTTTGCTTCAAGGTATGATCGATTTCAAGTCCATGCATGGGGATAAAAACATGACTGATTTTTATTTTTTCATCAAGGACAAGCTTTCCACTCAGTTTACAAAGATTCAGATCACCGAAAAATTTCGAAGACTCAGAAAAAAGTTTGTAGGAAACTTCAAGAAATCTGCAGAGAATGGTGGCTCCCGGGATTTCTCTAATCCTCATGACTCAATTGTTTTCGAGCTTTCGGATAAACTTTGGGGAAATGATGGGTGTGATAAAAAGCTCATCGTAGAAATCAATGAGAAAACAAGAAAGCGCAGAAGAGTGGAGTTGGGGTCCAGAAAAGAAGATAAAAAACAGAAAGGAACTGCTGAGGATAAATTCGATATTGATATGGAGTTAAAGTATCCATTAGTATATCCATCGCTCAATCAAAATATAGGATTCATTGCACCAGATATGCTCAAGAAGAACTGGACCTTGAAGGGGAGTACCAATTCAAGGTATAGTGGGGCAGAATGGGAAAAACTTATGATAAAGGAGGTGGAGCTCTACTGTAAGAAGTTAGATTTGATGAAGGAGATGACGGGTGCTGTTTTGCGATCTCTTAAAGGTTAGGTAGGTAATCATTTGTGAGTTTCTATTTGCTTTTTTATTGCATGTAGTTTGTTCGTAGTCAACGAAAGTTTGAATTTTATTGGTACTATTATTAATCGGTCTATTTTTCTTGAATTTATTAAGTGATCAAATGATAAAAAAAATATATATATATATATATGAAGGAATTGAGCATAGTTTTTAACCAGATCACAAGCCATTTCTTGTTTAAGAGTATTATTATAGAATGTAAGAACGATGCAAGAGAATTTTGTTTCGTGGATTAGAGGTTCACTTGTTACTCTTTACACTGGAGGAATTATTTATTGCAGGATTTCTTATAGTTACTTAGGAAGTATTCCATTATTTATTACATTGCCTGTGTTAGAATTACATAACTAACTATGTCGCCCTCTTCAAACAGGGTGTCTATATCTGCATTTAATGCGGTTAAAAGCTTCATGTGCTTATTATGCCCCTGTTAGGGATCAACCATTTCCCAATTACATCTTTCTCTCTTCTATTTTCAACCACACATTTTTCAATGAAATAATACAAAAGTTTTCCTTTATTTTTTAACCTAACATTCTCCATCAAATCACTATTTCAAAATGTATTTTTTTACAAATACTGGGAATCAAACGTGCTCTATATAAATTTCAATATGAATGTCGTAAATGTTAAGTGTGACGTTGTTGCTTGTCAAAGTTGTCCAAAGCCTAGGCATGACCAGTCCGTCAATGTGGTTCTATTTTATACTCCCTTGGCCATGTCGTGAAATGTTTCTGCAATATTTACGTTATTTTCTATCAAAGACTCCTCGATCTATTTTCATTAACTATCATTTCACTTTAGCGAGTTATGTTGTATTAACAAATTGATTGTCTCTCTTTTTGCTATTTTCAGGAAGCCAGTATAAGATGCATCTTGTTATTCTCATCTCTTGTTGTCCTAATGGCTCGCGGCATTTGTCCATTTCTCATTGCCAACTATTTGTCTCTGAATTAGAGTTTATGATGATTGATTTGAAATTTTATAATGTTGAGTAGTTTAAATAATCAGACATTTTTTAAATTCAAATAATAGAGTTATAGTAACATTTTTTGGGAGATACATTGCGGTACTGCCTAATTATGTCTTCCTTAATGTTGTCAGAATATAAAACCCACAACAATCGGCAGTACCGCAATGTATGGGTGTAGATGATCTGGAAAACAAGGGAAATTATGGAAAGGCTTTGGTTACACTCCCAACTCTGATTCTACACTAAATTTGGCTTATGATTATGATCGTCAAAATCACTGTCATGACAACTTTTTTACGACGATTATATGTTGTAACCTGGGTATATAGTGAACAGGGACTTAAATAAGTGATTGTCTAGAGATCTACCTGAATTCTCAGATAACGTAAACAAGTTTTTAATAACATAAATTCTTTTTACAAGAGAACCATGAAAATCTTTTACACAGTATCCTCAATTAGTTATATGCTAACACTAACAATACCCAGTAATCAAATGGAAAATTCTATCAGTAAAGATAAGATAGAAATAATTAGCTAATTCACTAGTCAATCACTCACTGTCTTCATATTGATGCTACTATATCCATAAAAATAAGTTATATGTTTTCAGTTTACCGATATCAAAGTTTGACCCTGTAAAGATGCCTAGAACTTGCGGATTTGTAGTTTTTGATTGTAAAATAAATGCCTCTAGGTTACGAATAAAACTGGTATACCTGTCATGCAGTTTACAGCTCTACTTTTTATTGAATTTGAAAGACCCGAAAATGAGGAAGAAGCTCTAGAAAAGGAGTGTGGTAACGTTTACATGGCCTACGTAGTTCAAATATTTGTTTTGAATTGTCCAGAAATTTATAGTTTTTGCTAGGATTTTAAAGTCACGAGAATGTGTTATGTGGAAAGCATTCCTTTTTATAATTACTTAGATATTTAATTTTACTCGGCAATGTAATGGTTCCGTTTCTGTCTATGAAATGCAGCTTTTCCAATTAGTTCCTCTCACTTTTAGAAACATATTGTTTTAAATCCTTTCTTGAATTGTACAATCTAGGGGTCAAATGAGTAGAAAAGTAATTGCCAGGGGCGGACACCGGGGGTCCTGGGGTCACATGCCCAACAACATTTTTTTTTTTTTATGTAAAATCATGTTTGGTATCTATTGAAATCTAAATTTTAATCTAAATCGAAGTGAACAATTAATTTTAATAACATATTTCATGGAATCCATAACTGTTTAACTTTTATCGAAATTTACTAAAAAATTGATTTTCATCTTCACCGAACAGGGGGGAAAATCAGAAGAAATTTGAATCTCTTTTCCCTTGTTCTCTCTTACTATTTTCTTCTC